GCAGTTTGGTTTTTGTTCATGAACTCTCTGCCTATCCCTATGTCTTGAAGATTTTTTCCTGCTTTCTCTTCCAGTATATTTAGTGTTTCTGTTTTGATATTTAGATCTGTGATCCATTTTGACTTGAGTTTGGTGTATGATGATAGACATGGGTCCAGCTTCCTTCTTCAGCACGTGGCAAGCCAATTTTTCCAGCACCATTTATTAAAGATGCTATCTTTCTTCCAGTGAACTTCTTTGGCCCCTTTATCAAAGATAAGGTAGCTGAGTGTGTTTGTGGTTGTGGCTGCATCTTCCAGTCTGTTCCATTGATATTCAGGTCTGGTTTTTGTTTGTTTGTGTGTTTTGTGTTTTTTTTTTTTTTGCCAATACCATGTGGATTTTATCATAGTAACTTTGTAGTATTATTTCAAGTCAGGGATTGTGATGCCCCCTGACTTGTCTTTGTTGCCAAACACAAAAGGATGGCTTTTACTATTCTAGGTCTCTTGTGGTCATAAGTTTAAACAACATAGAGTTTCTCTTATATGAGAAACCCAAAATATAAATAAACTAAAGAGCAAAATAAAGATAATAGGAAACAAGAAGATTAATATTTTGCAAAAGGAAATGGACCAAGAGATAGAGAGAGGGAGGAGAAAGGAGATGAGAAAGCATAGAAAAAAGAAATTCAGATATGTTATGTACATGCACCAATCCCCATGATGAATTTGATCATTATGCACTGCAGACATGTAACAATAAAAATAAAAATTTACAAAAAGAACTTACTATAAAGCTACAGTAATCAATACAATATGTAATTGCCAGATCAATAGACACGTAGATCAAAGCAACACAGTAAATATTCCACACAAATATCATCAACTGATTCAGACAAAGTGGAGAAAAGATAGTCTTCCAAAAACTGATGCTGGAGCAAATGTCCTTATGAATGGATATTTCATAGTAAAGTATGCAGATGGCAAATAAACACATAAAATATGTTTGATCTCTTTAAGCATCTGGGAAATACAAGTTAAAACTATAGTGATTCATAGCTACACAACTATCAGTGTGGATAATATTAAAAAAAACAGCAATAACTCAATGCTGAAAAGCATGCAAATGAACTTCATCATTCATACATTGCTACTGGGAATATAAAGTCATATGTCCATTCTGGAAAAGTTTGTCAATTTCTTATTAAACTAAGCATGCCATTATCTAGGACCTCCAAATCCAACGTTGGGCATTTATTCTAGAGAAATGACAACTTGTGTCCACTCAAAATTTGATACATAAATTACAACATCCCAAATCCTTAACAACCAAAATGTCCTTCAACAGGGAAATGGTTCAACCAGCTGTGGTACATCTATAGCATGACATATTATGTGGTAGTACAAAGAGATGAAGTATTGTTCCATGCAATGCCCTGAATAAATCTCAAGGGAATCATGTTGAGTGAAAAAAGCGAAACCCAAAAAGTAACATATGTCTGATTCCATTTACATATCATTCTTGAAATGACAAAAATATAGAAAGGAAAAACTAATTAATTATCAAGATTAGGAAGAGAAGGAAGTGAGAGTGAGAGGCAAGTTTATCTATTTTGCTATAAACAGGCAACAGGAAGGATGCTCGTGGTAAGGAATCTATATTGTGTAGGATCTGTATCAGTTTCAGCATCCTAGTAGTGATATTACACTACAGTTAGGCAAGATGTTGCCACTAAGGATATTGGGTAAAGGGTACACTGGATTCTATGCATTGCTTCTTAAAACTGCATGAGAATCTACAGCTAGCTCAAATTTTTTAAAAAGTTTACCTGGAAAATTCATAAAACATCAGGAGATGGTGTCACTGAGACCAAAGTGAATATATAGCACCAATGAAGTTTATTGAATATATTAATAGGTTATTGGTGATTACCTCTGCCACATTATTCTATTGGAGTTGTGGGAATAGGGAAACCTGATTGGTATGGATTGAAGAATGAATGGGAAAAAGAAAAATACACAATAGTCTTTTCTGTTACAAAGCTTAAAAAAGAAATAGGGCCATTTGTACAGTGTAATGAAGTATCAAAGAACAGTTTATAAAGATGGGAGATGCTCAAGCATGTGAATAACCTAAGATAAGGAAGGATTCTCACGGGAGAACTGACAAGATGTAAGCAAGATGTTGGGGGGGACATATGAAGAGGAAAGGATGGAGGAAGGAAGAGACAACAATAACAGAATCAGAATATGGACATCTAGAACTGAAGGAAGGCTATACAGAACGAAGTGAAAGCTAATGAACCCGAAGAACCTTTGTAGGTGTAAGTCAAAGAGTTCAAATTGGCCCAAATGGTCTTTAGGAAGCAAGAATCTATGCTGTTGTATGGGACAGGGTTAAGGAACTTGGAATACATATGATAAAAAAGAAAAGAGATTACTTGGGGCAAGTGAAGGATAGCTGGGTGGCCTGAGGGCTCAGCTGAATTTGGAAATTGTGATGACTAGGAACACCAGTTTGGGGAGTTCTGCTCCTTTCCTCCATGTTGGTCATTATGGGACTGAGGATTCAAATATTTGGAGGAACATAAATCTGAGGCTAAATAGTGTAGGTGTGGTATTTGAAGGACACGGGGATGGAGATACAGTTGATAATATGTCAGAAGATTTTGGCTAGATAAAGATGTAAGTGATGAGACAAAGGAGGGTTTGGGGCCTTGAACCCCTTTCAGTGAGGCCAAAGGTCAGATGATGTCAGATTCAGCCATTGCTGGGAAATTTGGGGCTCAGTGGGATGTCAGCATTGAATCATTAGGAGGTGAAGCAGTGCCTACTGTTACTAAATGACTTGAGTAGTTAAGGTGCTGAGAAGTAAACAAACAGAGAAGAAGTATGGAGACATTATTTATTGGGTGCATCTCCCGTGTGGATATTGTTGATGTCATCCAGGAGGAGGCCTGGACTTACAGTGTGAAGTTCTTAGAGTATTGGGGAAGAGCAAGAATAGTGCCCACATCTACACAGACTCTCAGGCCCAGAATCCTGGTTAGTAGTCAGCAATTGGGGATGAATGTAAGATCAGGAGAAAACTCAGTTCTAGGGAAGACCAGAAAGTGTAGGGAATGCATGTTTGAAACAGTTTGATTTCCTGTTTGTTATCTGGTTGGGAAAAGTGCAGCTAAACTCTTTGTGCATTATGTTTTACCATTTTCACCCCCAGAAAGTCCTGAATGGTCTCTCTGAATCTTACCGCTGATCTCTGACTTTAGGAAAATTCTTTATCCCTCCAAGACCTAGTCAGAGTATTCCTATAACAAGAAAGTTGGAATAGATTTTCTCTGCATTTTCTAGTCAGAACTACTAGGTCCTGCCTGAGATGGTGGTTTTTGTCTACTGTTGTGTCCTATCTGGGTAGCAAGGACCAAAGAAGCCTGAAACTTACTTGTTGAAAGTGCACACCTCAATCAAAAGCAAATGAGTGCAGATATCACAATACATTTTTGTGTCAGAGGCAGAATCTCAAGATGAATGGTCCAGTAAAATCTAATGTTTAAACATTCCAGCTTTGAACACTGGCTATTTTTCCATTAAGCAGCTGTGTATTTGGCAGGTTATTTAACCTCTCTGTATCTCATTTACCTCAAGAATAAAATGAAGATGACAGTAGCATCTATCTCATTAGGTTATTGTGAATACTAAATTAAATGATGCATGTAAAGCTTTTAACATGGTGCCAGATACTTCAGAATAACTCGATATGTGTTAGCTATCATTGTAATTATTATAAAATTATTATTATAGGAGGAGCCTAGTGGTACATGTCTGCTGTCTATAAAGCTCTGTGTAAGGAAATCTCCTATCACCAACTCTGTAGAAATAAGTAACACACATCATTCCACTTTGGGGGGCTCTGATCTTGACATGGAATTGTTCAAAGTGTCTCATAATTCCGTAAGCTTTCCAGAAAGGTTGGCGGTCCCATCAATCAGATAGTAGCACGTTATTCGTCTTACCCTTGGTTGTCAATGTTCTAGATGTTTCTAAGTTTTCATTTTTTACTGATTCAGGGGGGGAATTTCTCCTTTGAGAACATCTGCTTGTACCCCCCTTATTTTTTTCCCTTCCCACTTGTAGGCCTTCCTTCCTTTCTGCCACGTCCCCTTCATTCCTCCTTAACCATTTGTTCACATTAGCCCTTCTATCCTCCTCATTCAGTTATAGCCCTTCATCCTTTATTTCATTTATTCCCCCTTTATTCCTGTTCATTTCTTACCCTTTCTCAATTTCACCTCTCTCCTTTATCCCATGTTCTTTCTTCTCTTTCACTTTGCATCCTCTAGTCCCCTTTCTTCTACATTACCCCCACACCCCATATTCCACATCACCTCCTATGCTTTACTTCATATCACACCACCGCTTTTATTCTTTTGTGCCATTGCCTCTTCATTCCACATCCCTCCTTCCTTTATCCTGGGAAATCCCCTCCACTCCATTCCATGCTGTCCCTTCTCTTTATTCCATGTCATCCCTTCTTCTGTGTTCCACGTGACCCATCCCATTCTTTTCATGTTATACCACCCATCTCCTTTTTTCTACATCACCATCTCCCTGTCTTACTGTCACTGTCTCCTCCATGTTCCACATTGCTCCTCCCCTTCATCCCATGTCTCCCCTTTTTCATTCCTTGCCATCCCCCTTTATTCCACATCTCCCCACACCCTTCTCCCATGTCCCCCGCTAATTGCACACCATCCTGCTTTGTTCCACATCACCCTTTCCCTGTGCCCCATGTCACCCCTCCCCTTTATCCCATGTCATCTTGCCCTTCCCTTTATCTCATGCTTTTCACTTCCTCTTTGTTCTACATTACCCCCTCCCTTTATTCCTCTTCCCCATATCCTCTCTCCCTCAGATCATCAGTCAGATTCCCAACTCACCCTCAATATGTAAAAGGGAAAAAAAACACACAGTAAGCCATTTATATGATGCTGTCACAACACAGATGTTTACTAATGATTAAATGCCAGAGAAGTTTTAACAATCACAAATCTTCGAGCTCTGCGGTTGTTACCCATCATGTGATCAATGTCTATCCCTCAATACAATGCATTCTTCATTCTATGGATCTTAGCAGTTGTTACCCATCAATATCAGCTGTAATTTGGATGTCATACGTAACCCATATGTGTGTGTTACCAGAGCATGTCCCGCAAATTTGTACCGTCCTGCATAGAGGAACTACAGAGACGATAGATAAGAATAGTTTTAATCGGGTGACTTTAGCTACTTGGAACTATTGTGCCTGTATCTAACTAGCTGTTTTATAGACAACTGTAGTGAACATCAGCCATCTTTAAAACAAATTCAGGTACTAAAATCTAATTTTATCCCCTAACTTTTGATTGATCCCAGAAAAGCTAGTTAGACTTATACTTGAGGTTTTCCTGTTTGCTTGTCCTGAGCAAACCTGCACAGAATTTGGGGAGTGGCTGTTTGACGAGCCATTGGTCTAAATAATTTGGAAAAAAAATCCTGAGGCGGCAGACACGGCTGCGGGGACACGGCTATGAGTTGGTGTGACATGGTTTAGCATTAGTTGTTTGTCAGCTGTCAGTAGGCTGACCTAACATTCTAGCATGCCTCTTGAGGGCCTTTCCAATTAAACTCTCAGGAGGAGGGTAGGAAAGTCAGGAATAGCATGCAATCCTTTTTGGGAGAGGGAAAGCACCTCGAGATTTGTGAGCTTCTCTGGGACAGGTGTCCACCACAAATGTAACATCAATTAAAGAAAGGACTGTAGCAAAAGAAAGCCAGATCAGGGGGAAAGCGATTGCAAGGTAGCACCAGGGTGCCCGGACATGACACAGAAATAGCTCTTTTTACCAGCTGAAGAGACCAAGCATCCCCAGTAAAGGGGCTGGCATTGTGTTTGGAATTCCTATCCTGACCCGAGCATCAGGGGGAACTCCTTCTTACCCTCAGATGTGTGTCCTTAAGTTTCTCTTAAATGTTTCCTGTGACATTCCAAGTCTACCCCACCCTTTTCCCCTGTCTGACACCTTATAGAAGGAAAAACATCTAGGGAAAGAAGTAGCCAGTGCCAGTGTTGGCTTCCTTCTCCTGGGGCACACGAAGCAATGGGCGGCCTTGCTCCGGAATGGGGGGGTTACCCGCTCCCTCCTCATCATCATGGGAACGGGCAGTGCCAGAAGGCACAGCTGGATCCTCAGAGGAACCTGGAAAATAGTAACAATGTTAACTCCTTATGTTTCTAGACTTTATTCTTCCCATAACATCCAAGCATTAAGACCTAGTTTTGACTTTCAAATAAAATATGAGTTAAGAAGGTAGGGCAGGGATGGTTCTCACCACTAAACATGTAAGAAAAGCTCTTACACACAGATCTGTAAATCTAGGACCACTGTGGAAGCTGGAGTAAGAGCTGGGTTAGGGGAGATATATATATATATATATATATGAAATGTCACTGGGGAGATAGGGAAGAGGGCGACCTAACAACCACCAACAACCTAAAAGAAACCTGACTAATTTTACCAAGCAAATGAGTAACAAAGCTGGGACCTGAAACTTACAATACTAAGTGAAAGGGAGAAAACAGGGATCACTCTTCAGTGAGTCTGGGGGAAACCTAGAGCCTATGACTTGGCTGGGCTGACACTTGTTTTTAAGGAGAGTGGTATCTACAGGCAATGGAACATCTGCATCTTCTTCAAGGAACTGAATTGCCTTTGGATTCTGAATTTCTTTATTGTCTTGATCGTTAGGCATTGGTACCTCTTCCACATTCATAACTTTAAGATTCACAGCTAGGTCTTGTGGAGGGTCTGGACCTATACTGAGGACATCTTCAGTGTCTGGAGTCACAGTGCTCACTTCATCACTTTCAAAAGCATCGACTTGGTATTTCTGGGAATCTGGAACTTCATTGTGAATTCACGCATCCTTGGGCTCTGGGAGCACACTGAGAGCTGAGTCTTCTAGAGTATGGCTTTCTTCAGAATCTTGGTTTTCACCAATATCAGAGGTTTCTTCAGCCAGTGGAACTTCTTTGTCATCTGAGGCTTCTTTGTTTGGGACTGCACTCACATCTGAGGATTCTTCCTGATCTTAAATTTCATCAAAACTGGAGACATCTTCAGGGTTTGTGACCACATAAAGATCTGGGATGTCTTTGGGAGTGGGGAATTCCTCAGAGCCAGCTATGCCATTGACTTCCAGAGTTTCTTCATGACTGTGAATTTCTTCGGCATCTGAGGTTTCTTCACTATTTGGGGTGCTGTCAAGATTGGGATCTTAGTCAGAGTCAGAAACTCAATTAACCTCTGGGGAGTCTCCATGATTCAGGATTTCATGTCCTGCAGGGTCTTCTTCAAGACTCAGGACCACATGAAGAGCTGAGATGTCATCAAAATCAGGGTCTTCAGAGTCTGAAATGCCACTGACCTGTGGAGAATCTTCATGGCCTAAGAGCTCTTCAGCATTTGAATCTTCTTCACTTGTGGCTTTATCCACAGCTGAGATCTCTTCAAGATTGGAATCTTCTTTAAAATATTGGGCACTGTCATTACCTGAGGTATCTACATTATCTGGGATTTCATCAGTGTCTAGGGCTTCTTCCTTACCTGGGATTTCATCTGTATCAGAGGCGTTTTCATTGTTTGGGACTACGTCAAGATAAGGAACTTCTGCAAGGTCAATATTCGGGTCATCTTCAAAATCTTCAAAGTCGCTGTCCAGATTTTCATCGGGGTTGAAGAGTTCTTGCAGATCTGGAACTCCTTCAGGGTCTGGGGCCATATCAAAATAAGGTATTTCTTCAAAATTTAAGATCTCAATAAGCTGTGAAATTTCATCATCAGGTTCTATAATATCCTCAAGGGTAGGAAGATCATCAAAATTAAGGTTATCATCATTACCTTCCCTTTCATCAATCTCTGGATACCCTCTAGTTGTGGGCCTTGAATATCAAGGTCATTTCGAATCTCAGGACCTTAAGCTCCCCCCCAAAAAACTACTACTTAATAGAGATATCTAAATAGTAGCTCTTTGTTGACTGATATATCTTTCTCAGAGGACTTATCTTCCTCAAGGACTGCTGTTCAGCAAGGACCTGACCCAAAGGAAGGGCCTGACCTTCAGAAAGGGACTAACCATGAGCAAGGGCCTAACCTCCTAAAATGATACTGACCTTCATCAAAGGGACTGCTTTGACCAAGGATAGCCGCTCGGGCCTCAGCAGAGGATTCCACTGGATCAGAAAGCAGAGCGTCCTCTTCCATCTTTATGCGCGCACTCCTGAATGGGCAGGAATTTGAAAAATGTAAGTAAATTTGTACTTGGGTTGGTTGACTTAAAGGTGGTCTAAATGTATACACTTCCACTGGACAATGTGCTTCAGGCCAAGCATAAACAAATGAAAAACTTACTGGATCTTCCTCAGATTCCTGCGTCTGATAAAATCAAGAGCCTCAGGACTGGATTTCCACACACGCTTAGCAACCTGCTTCTGAATATGAGGAGGCACCTGAGGGTTAAATTAGCAAAGTTAGCCTTTATTGCACAGCACCTTTCCATTTACCCTTTTCTCTGTGAAGGGCCCAGGCCTGAAGGCATGATGAACACCTAATATGGGGAGAGTTTCTAGATGGGGAGATCCTGTGACTGCCTGCTTTTGTTGCCCACATACAACTTTCCCTTGTCTAGTGACAGATAAGAAATGTGTGAAATAAGTCCATCCAAAACCTCCCCTACCTGGAAGAGGACATCCCAGTTATCAATCATGGCACGGACCACATTGACAGAAGCAACATAGTGGTCAATTCCCACTTGAGCCTTCCTGGACTCTTTCTTGCCAGACTTTCCCCTCTTCAGGAGAGCAGATCCAAACACCAGGGCCAAGTTGGTGGAAGTCATGCGGTTGCCTGCAACCTAGGTTAAAAAAAAAAAAAAAAAAAAAGAGGTTTGCACCTTGAGCAAGCACTGGAAGTTACACAAGTAGATCTGTCCCCTTTTATGCTTCTCTCTCTTGCCTCTTTTTGCCATCCTATGCACCCTGGCACCCTCACACACTTCCCCTGCTGCAGTTCTCGCTGCCCTTCCCCAGATATTTTTTACCAACTGTCCATCAGTGCCAATAGAGTCCTCGCAGTGCTCAGTGATTTTATGCAGGGCCTTCAGCAGACGCTCCAGGGTGTCACTGTGGCAGGGTGGCATCAGGTAGACCAGCAACTGCAGGGCAGAAAGCTGATCCTGTGGCTTCAGAGCTACAGGAAGGAAAACAGAGGCTGGCTCAGTGGGCTAGCTTTGGCAACAACCTGATACCAAGGGGGTGTATTTGTGCTTCAGAATTGCTGGGGGCTGCGGAAGACCCCTGCAACTTGCTTTTTGCTTACTTCTAAAGCATTTGAATACAGGAACTCTGAAAGCAGGAAGTGACCCCCATCAAAATCATATTTATATATAACCTAGAGTCTTCTTTGCCCTGTGAGGGCATGCCCAATTTCCAGAAACTCTAGAGAAATTACCGAGCAACAAACTCATAAGGGAATTTTAAGACACATAGAAAGTGCCTTGGAGAGGTTTTTAAAAAATTTTTATTTTTAATTGACAAATAATACTTGTATTTATTCTGGCGAGGTGTTGGCCATCTTCTGCTGTTCATTCTGCTTCAGTTTCTTGAGGGTCCTGTACCCTGAGCTCTGTTACTCAGCCCCCTAGACCCCTGCAACATCTCCCTTCCCTGCCACAGCAAGGGAGGGCAGAAGACTCACTTGCTGTCAGGAGGAAGGACATGTACAGATCATCTGGCAGCAGAGAGTCCTTCATGTCACGGAAAAACTCCTTGAGAAGTGCAGCCACATCGTGCACATTCTGACTGTCATCCAGCACTACATCCAGACCTTGATCAAATTTTTCACGGAGCTAGAACAAGGGAGAGAAGATATGGACCATTGGCCCTCCCCACCACAGGTCATTTCCTCCAGATCATCCCCTGTTAACTGTTGGTCATTCCTTCAGTAAGTTCCAATCTTCACTGAAGACAGATGGCAATGTGATGTGTGGGGGCAGTGCTGGACAAAAACCTTGTTCCCCCCCCACACCTGTCATGACACAGTTCAGGTGGCTCTTCCATCAACTTTTTCTTACCCAAGGAACAAACACACAAGCCTAGTCAGTTTACCTGACGCACTTTCTGTGCAGAGTGCTCAATGGTGAAAATCCCCACTGCACTTAAACCTGAAAGAAAATCCAGAAGATATTTAACATTTCTGACCCCCTTTCTTGTGACATTTCTCTTTTCTCCCTTAAGAACTGCACCCAAGCCTCCTCTGGTGGCAAGGTAATGTTATCCAAGCCCTTCAAGCCAGGACCTTTCTCTCCCCATTTCTAAAATACCCCTCCTTCCCCTATCATTGCCTTCTTGTTTGATTTAACCCATTTGTGGTCTCCCTTACCATGTTCCTCAATGAACTTGCAGCAAGTTTCAACAACCTGGGGGATTTGCTGTGCAATGGGGTTGAGGCTCATCTCCCTTTTAGATCCCAAAAGCCTCTGGCCAATAGGAAATGAAACCCTTGACAGTTGCAGGGTCTGAAGCAACAGGGCTCCGTCCTCCAGCTCAGCCAAGCTATCCACAGACACAGCACCCTGTGGAAAAATCAGAGCATATTAAGGGGTTGGGGGTGTGGGACCTTTCTGAGCACTATGTGACATTTAGAACCCAAGAGACTGTCTGTGGCAAGCCAAACACATCCTTCCAACAAGTTCTGCTCAGCCTCCCTCCCTTTGAGGACCCAACCCTTGAGCTTCCTGTCCAATACCTCGGCACACCTCAGGACCCCTGTCTGAAACCTGGAAGGTTTAACTCACTCGACGCCCACGGCGAGTGAACTCCCTGGGCAAAGTAGGCTCATTCCTAGGGCGAGTGAAAAAGCGCCGGATGCGACCAAACAGCCTTTGCACTACGTTTCCCCGACGACGACGACGGCCCGAAGGCTGACCCGTAGCTTCTTCAACCTGCATCTCGGCTCTTAGTTCAAGATGCTTGCGGCGGGTAAACTCATTCACCAGCACCTCTTCCAGGCGAACACCAAACGTCTTGAATGATGACACGGCTGGGGAGCCAGGGAGAGAAAGAAGGAGAAACGTCAAAGCCCTACAAGCATCGCTTAAGCGATGGGGGTGTAGCATTCCCCCCCAGGCAATGGCCCACTGTCAACCTCCCCCACCACCTCCCGCAGCCCACCCCCGACCCGCAGCGCTCCTCCCAGGGAAGCCAGCCGAAAAAGACCCCGCAGGTATTAGAGGAAAGGACTCAACTACCACGACGGGGCTCAAGGTCCCTGCCTTAAGTCCTGCAGCGGGTGACCACTTTAAATGAGGATGATTTCTTCAGGATGTTCTGTCTGGGGTGCGTCCACTGGGAAGGCTCAGGGAGGTCTGAGAGAACCGCCCCATTGCTACTGCGCCATTTCCTGATAGCACCCCCTCTGAGGGGTTTCTGGGAGGGAGGGGGAGTGCCTTCAGGGGCACTGGGCACCGCCCAGTCTCCACTAGCCGCGGGGCACAATATGGTGGGGGAAGGGTGCAGTTTGTTTCCCAAAGAAAATAGAAGAGACCCTCACCTCTGTCTTGTCCTCTTAAGACCAGAAAACAGTTCTCCGAGGTGTCTGGGCTGTCAGTGGTTAGAGCTAAGGGAAGAGAAAAAAGAAAAGACACGCACATTCACACGCAAATAGGACTATAAGTGACTAAAACATCGCAATACATTGATCTGCAGAGGGGGGAGGCGCTGGAAGAGGGGCAGCTCCGTCCGGCCCGCTGAAAGTGTTTTCCTTGCCCTCAGCCTCAGTTTCCCCCACTGACGACCGGACCCGTCCTATCTAATACCTATAAGACTCCACGAATTTAACCAAACCAGACAAGCTAAGGCTCCGGGAGCGCAGGGCGCATCTTGCTACGCATCAGTAGTCTCTCAACACACTTAAAACATAAATTCAGGGGCTCTAAGGTGCCCGGATAATGCAACAGGCGAGGGGAGGGGCTCTGCCCGCCGCGTCACCGCGGTGAGGGTCGCCAAGTTACTGCGGGCGCGCTCGCACCCTATTGCCGTCGGCTCCCCGCTCTGCGGCGGGAGAAGCGGCGACACCTGGAAGTCCCCACACTCCGAATCCCGCAGCAGCGGCTGGGGTCTCCTCGCCCTGCGTTTCACTGAGTTCAGGCTGTTCCTGTGCTACACGCCTAGCGATCCTCCCGCCCTTGCACTTTCCTACCCTGCCGGGGCGACCCTTTCCCACCTCCCTGACTCGGCGGTCCGATCTGCGCTGTAGCCCTTGGGTCTCCGGCGCGCTCGAACTCAGTCCCGCGCTGCGTCCCGCAGGCTCCCCCGCCGCCACTGAGGTGGGCAGCGCTCAGGCAGCGCACCTTCCGCCGCCACCCCCACCCTCGCACCCCTTGCGCTCTCTGCCTGACTGGGTGCGGGTCTCTCTCCCCGACCGTCTCTCGGTCTCTTCCAACTGCCTTGTCTCTGCCGTCCCAGTCCTCTCTCAAGAGTGCCCCTCTGGACTCCCGTCTGGCTGTGCCCAATTCTCATACGACACCCGGTGAGTCGGTCTCTTCACCCGTCCTCTGTCCCTCTGTCCACTTGCTTGTCACTGACATTTGCCTATTTTACAGCCCCTCACCGTTATCCCCCCGTGCTTCGACCCAACTCAACTATTCTTTACCTCTTCTGCAATTCAACGAACAGCCATCAAACTCCCACTTTCTCGGTTCCCCAGACTCCTGGACAGCCGACCTGGTCCTAGACCAAGTGCAAGCCCCTCCCACGCTCCTGGATCCCCGAATCTGTCGCGTCCCGGCTGGGGGGTCTACTCGCCCGAAGGCGAGGACGCCACACTCCCGGGAAAAGCTCACCTCGGTTAGGCTCGAATTCAGAGAGGAAATGCCTGGCCAGGAGTTCTTGGTAAGCAGTCTCTTGCAGCTTCAGACGCTCTAGCTCGGAGAGGCTGTGTATTGATACCATCTTCATCTTGTGGTCTGGGTTGTGTCCTGGGGCTCCTCCCAGGACGCTCACTAAAAAAATGAAGGCAGACAACAACAGCAAAAGGGGCATGATTCTGGGGCACAATGTCCTTGCTGCCTTCAGAAAAGGAATGCAGCCACCCATTCTGGAATCGGATGATTATCTAGACTGCATCATCCAATTGTCACTGGACCTAGTGGAGGGAACTATGGGGGGGGCGGGTGGAGGGGGAGGGAAAACTGGGAGGTGGCTTCACCCTCAAGCAGAGCTGCTTCTGGCTGCTTTTTTTTTCAAATCCAACTTTTAAAAAAATGAGCTCTAGACAGATATTCCAGAAAAGAGAAAAATCTAATTAGCAGAAGAAGAAGAAAAGAAAAAAGAAAAAAAAGAAAAGAAGCAAGATACAAGGAAAAAAATCCTTATAGTTTTTTAAAAAGCATTTTGAGACAAGAATAAAATAGAATTTTCTAGTAATTAGTTAGAACATTGATAAAGTTTTTTTCATGATAATACTTAGTAAGAGTCAGGTAAAAGAAAAAAAAGAATTTCATCCAATCTAGGAGCACTGTAAAATTCTACAACTCTTCCAGAAAACAAACTGGACACGTGGGTGGGTCTGGAGCCAAAATTTGTCCCCAGGCCCTTTGCCCCAGTAATGCCCCTTCTAGGAATCTATCTTAATGAAATATTCCTGTGCACAGGAAAAACATATGCACATGAGCCATAGCAGCAAAAAAATTAAGAGAATAAAGCTAACCCAACAATGAGATTAGTTATATAAATTATGCAATGACCAGAGTATGGAGAATTATATAATCCTAAAGTGATGGTTATAAAAAAAACTTTTCAAGAACAAATACACAATTGTATTAATTATGATTACAACTATGTGAAGAAACACATGCATAAAAATAGAACACTAAAAGAAATACTCTCAAATATTAACAACCTCTGTAGTAAGTGGTAGTATTTTGTTTGCTTATTGTCTTTTCTCTGTTTACCAAAACCGTGCAATTTGATTATATTACTTTTCATGACAAAAAAATCAACTTGCACCAAAACAAACATCATTTTGACACCATTTCTGAAGAGACTCTCTATACAAAATTGGTGACTAGAATAAACTTTTTCTTACTATCATGGCAAATCTATTTTATATGGCTTCCTTCGTGGTCTCCACTATCTCATACTGCTCCCAAGTTACACATCATGCCCCAGTAGGGATCTCCCTGCATCCTACACAGCACCCTTTCCTGAACATGCTCTGTTACTCATTTGTTTTTTCCATCCATTCATTAAAAGAAAAAAAGAAATCTGTATTAATTGCCCACTCTGTGCCAAATGCTAAAGCTTCAAAGGATGAGCAAGATAATATTACTCCTTTCGTAAAAGATTTAGCAGTATAGTGAAGGAGATACACAGGTTAGCAACAATTTACAAAACCTTGTGATAAGTCAGTCAGCCAAGATATAAACAAAGTACTGTGAGAACAGAAAGGAGAAAACATCTAAGTCTGCATGGAGACAAGGAGGAGGTTGCATCCAGAGAGAATAGTTTATGCAAAGGTAAAGAGATGAGAGGCTGTCATCTTCTTAGGGCAGCATAAAGGAATGGAAGGAGATAAATCTGGGTGGGCAGGGGTGAGATCACAAATGGCCCTGTAAGCCGCAGTGGTACTTAGAAAAACTCACAGAGAGCCATGAAAAGCTGGGTATGGGTAGAGAGCTTGAAGCAGGGAGATAATCCAAGAGGCAGGCTATGCTAGTCCAAGTCAGCAACATGAGGTAGAATTGACCAGATTTAGGGGAGAAACTTAATTGTAAAGGAAAGAATTTAGGATAGCTCCCAAGTTTATGGTTTGCGTGAATATATGTATGCTGATTCTTTACCAAAAAAAAAAAGATAACTTGGAGCATAGGAATCTAAACCTTTAAACAAAAACAAAGGAGGGAGTCTGATCTTCCCTGTCCCATGGATATTTATAATAATAATATGTATATTACTTGAAGAAAGGCTTAGATCTCAAGGATTAGGTAATATGGTTTTGATAGAGAAAAGGTAGGTGAGGGTTTATCATGGAATAATTAAAGTAAATGATTTCTCCAAGAAAATCCCCCACTTTGAATTTTATCTCCAAAATTCTCTTTTGCCCATTTTTCTTAATGGTTAAATTATAGATATCAAAAATTCCTTGCCAAAGAACAGGTACAGCATAGTAACAGGGGGTCTTCCTGTGACTTTTAGACTAAGCTAAGAGGAAAATCTCTAGCATGGATTTTAAAGCTTCTTCATGTGCAAAGCACCATCCCCTGGACTGAAAGTAAGCACCTAAACCCAACCACAAAAATGCAATCAAAAAATGACCATTTTAACCACAGGCACATACATGTCCAACAGTGGCAGACTAAAACTCTATCAATCCCGCACTCACAGTAGCAGGTCTAGAGCCTAATAGTCAAGGGTCTCATCCTGACATGCACAGCCTATGTCTGACTTAATTCTTCTAACACCACTCTCCCTCTCCCCTTATCCCAACCCAAACATTCCATACCTGTCTTGGAGTTTCAGCTATTTCTTCTTCTGGAGGCTTTCCAGATCTGGTCACCCCAAGAGCAGAGCTGGTTCTTTCCTCAAAAAACAGGATGAAAATCAATCCCTCCCTTCCTCAAAAAAATAAGGTGGGAACAAACAGTAAAACCTCAAATCAACACCAGCCCAAAAAGGAGAGAGAGAGAGAGAGAGAGAGAGAGAGAGAAAAGCCTTTGAGAGATGAGTCAGCCTAGATGCTTACAATTCTGAAGGAAATCAAAGGACTTAGAATAAACTGTCATTGGTCCCCTGCTTGAACATACAGGGTAAAACTGAAGAGCAGTCATATGCTGTATTTCTGCCAGTAAAACTGACACTGTCTTTTTTGCCTTTAGCCCTCTCAAGACACGAGTAGGACACAGGACAGAAGCAGAGATAGAAAGATCCAGTCAAAAGGCAGGTGGGTGAGGTAGGAGAGGGGAAGACAGGGCAGGCTTCAACACTGGAGACAAGCATACAACAGGTTCCTGAGATGTGAATGTTCTACTTGTCCTCAGGCCTGATTTTCCAAGCTAAACACAAAAGTAGGCTCCTCACAGGGAAAGAGGGGCAAAGAGACCTCTCTTGCTTCAGAGTGGCTTTCTTTCCCATTCAGTACGCCAAGGTACCATCCCAAAGAGACCATGGGATCAAAAACTCTTCAAGAAGGAATATGAAAGCAGAGCTGCTAAGTTTTACCCTAGAATTAGAGATATTTCTAAAGACACTTTTCTTTTGACAAGTGTCTGTTCTGAGCATTGGAGTTAGAACCAAACATAACTGAGTTCAAAACCAGGCTTTATGGTTTCTTAGATTTGTGACCTTAAGAACATCAGTTGAATTTTCTGAGCCTCAGTGGCCTACTCATAAAATGGGTAAAAACATAATACCCATCTCTGTGGTTGTGTGAGAACTGAGTGAGTAATGTTTCTGTGATATGTAGTGTTGGTTTTTAATAAGTGTGTTCATATTGAAAGTTCTTTGCAGAGGGCCTGAGATTCAGGAAATATCAGACTTCAAAAGTAATTACATAAAATTAAAATTTCTATCAGCACATTGAACAACCTACTCTGTTCAATCTCTACTAAATTTGAATTGCTTTAACGCAAGTAAAGCTATCAGGGGAGACTATTGGAGTAGATCTTGCTTCTTCACTCTTCAATTTCTTCCTGGTCAAATATTTTTTTTGAGAAATCACTTCATGAACTTTATACAAACTAATGACATAATTCAATTTTTCAAATTTTATTATTCAGGTTAGTAAAGTGTCTACTATCCTCATATCTATTTCTCTTTCAGACCATCCAATTTGGCATTGTCACTAGCAAAACAATATATAATTTCATTTCAATCAGAAAGAAGTTAAGAAATTAGCAGATTCCAAAAGGGAGAATTTGAACAAAGACCAGAGAGACACCCAAATCAAGTCCCCAACAATACATAAAGGAGAAACACCCTTGGATGGCATCAAACCTATTTGTCACACCCTCCTGCAATGCACTGCACAGATGGAGAAACAAAGGAAGGTTACAGAGGTCACCGGCTTTGACACTGCAAGGAGGAAGGAGATGCTCTCAGCGAGGCACAAATCCATACCCTCCACAATTTGGAGGTGTGATTGTCCCCACTGCCCGATCCAACAGTGAGGAATGGTGCAGTGCTTACTAGTAAACACCCATGAGACAACAGCAAAGGCTGCACTGATGCCGTGGTTTGAATCCCTACAAATTCAGCCCTTTCTGGCATCATTAGACTTCTCCTGGCCACCAAGAGACCTGGGGAGTTTGAGAAATTGACAGTGCAAGTGGCTGGGTGCCCAGAAGGCGTTGCATCTACGTTATTCAGATGTCCACAGGCATAGTGAAGGTGGACAAGACATCCCGATTAATACCTTATAACAGGCTGGGGATTTAGCTCAGCGGCAAAAGCGCCTGCCTGGCAAGCGCAAGGTCGTGAGTTCGGTTCCCGGTTCCGGAGGAAGAAAAAAAAAAAAAAAAAAAAAAAAGAATACCTTATAACATGGGACACAGGTCTCTACATGGAAATGTTTGGGCACCGATGGGGTCTGCTGACACACTGCCACGTTGACCCTGAGCATTAACGAGTTAGCTTGTAAGTTGTTACCCCATAACCTTTATCTTAGCACAGGCTGAAGATGCAGTGCACAAAATGACTCATTTTATCCCACGAAGGGGTGACACTCTAATGTAATTAAATCTGGGGACAGTGGTCCTCAGGATATACAGTCATCCCATCAGGCCACTGCAGAGCTCATAAACGGGAAATAGTACTGTTAAAATATCTTGACAAAATCCTTGGCTTAGAAAATGCTTCAAGAACCACTTAGAATATTAGACTGGTTCAGAGATAAAAGGAATCTTAGCCATCACCTCATCTAATACTACAGTTCACAAAACTGAGGCTCAGAGAGGGTAGGAATTTTTCCCAAGGCTGCACAGCAATTTGACAGAAGAGTCTGGACAAGAACCCAGTTCTCCTCAGTCTCAGGACATTTTCTACTGCCTCATTCATCCTGCTCTTAATAGCTGCAAGAGCCTGCATTGCTAAATAATGAA